CGACTACGGCCGGGCCCCGTGTTTGCCATGAGACTGTCCAATGAATATTTTAGACCACTAGCCATTCTACTTAGCAATCGATGAATCGTCCGAATGTGTTGTTGGGGCTCGATCTTAAGACCCATTTTCTTTTAGTTTTGAAGATTATTTAGCAGATTTTTGTACGCAAATGAATAATTTTCTCGCGAATCGGCTTGTTCTATACTTCTACAAATATATTCCTACTGGCAATTGATGTAAATTAAAAACATAATGTTAAGATGAAAGAATAGGATTCGAATTTCAGGAGTAAAAACCCCGGACTATTAGAGGTTTGTTCCAGGGTGTAGAAGCTCCAGCAGGTGAGAAATATGTTTTGTTTTGCTGCCATGGACACCAGTGATGGTTTTCAGAAGATACCTCGTTCCCGGTGCTAAGGAAGCCACACTAAATACATTAAATTTGTATCAGATAGTTTTTGACATTTGACGACGCGTTGAATAATTACACGGGTTGATTCAAGTATTTCGCTTGGTTAGAATTTATAGTTAACACTAATGAAATAATTTATTTTAGGCAGGGACGATCTGTACGAAGAACTCGATCGACTAATAAAAAAATTGTCATTATACATTATTTTACGAATGGCCATTAATAGTTAAAATGTTATACGTTCATCCGTCTATTTTAACAACAGTTGTCGCTTATATTAACCAGTCACCTACCTCAGTGTTGTGGTATTGTGGAAAGTAAACGGAATATTATTTTTCCCATATCACGAGCTATTTTAGATTAAACATGCACAAATTTATCAGTGAAAAATAACTGTTACCCTCCAACTTGGACCGTTTATCACCTTAAAATACAAAACATTATTAGTTGACATAAAACGACAGAACCGAACCCTGAAAATAGTATTTTTCCGGTGACCTTTAAACAGCGACCCTGAAAATACTACGATCATAAGTGTAAATACCGATAATTACATAATTTGCACCGTATCGCATTTAATGTACGGCGTGTGGTGCATTAAACAAGGCACGGCGTGTGTTATATTTTGCCAGGTATTAATAAACAGTTTCAGATATTTATCACTCTTACATCCTTTACGTAATGTATTTAATCTGAGTTATAAAGATGATGACTCTTCCATCCGGCTAGCTGTTACATGTAACCAAACTATTTACTGTTTTTGATGTAACAGTAAATATTTTTTTAGTAACAACTAGCAGAAGTGGCCACGTACTGTACATAGTTCATTATTTAACAACTGTTGTCCTTTAATTCTCTGGCTACACTCCTCAAACAATACTCAAAATGAAAAACTTACGTCCCGGTGGAAAATTAATACTAACCAAACCAAAATCCTTTACTATATTCTCGCTGGCTGTCAATGTTTCGTCTTAAAGTATCGGTTTATTTGGTACAAACGTCGGGCTTACCGGACACTTGAAATTTTATTGTACTGGACTATAAATTTTAAAATGGGTTCTCCATAAATCAGTGACAGTTTATGGCTGAGGATTAGTGGTTCTCGAGGGCTAGGATGATGTAAGTAAGGGAGGAAGGAACACTTGACTGATGCCTGATACAGTTAAAGCTCTTTTTATTTGTTGAATGCTCCTTGGTGGCGATTCCGAGCTGGTGGATGGCGGCAAACATTTAGTGATACGATTCTTGAGGTTGGCTGTTGGAAGCATTAGTGGGTGGAGTGCGGGTGTGTGCGTGTCAGGGTGGCAGAGGACGAGGTCTCCTTGCGTGCTGGATTGCAGATTTTCAGTCTTAGACAACACGCACGCTGCTGTCCCCAGTTCCTCTACTTTAATATCTTGTCTGCACTTGAAATATTAGCTTAATGAAGACTAATGGCCGTTAAATATAAAAGACTGAATTAATCTATACCTTGTTGGACGTAGCGGGGTTTGTAGCCTATGACTTATTTAGCGGCGTGTACTACCTATGTTTTGCACTTTACTCCCACGGAAAATCGTAATTCATAGACAATATTGTGTATTATACCACTGCGTCATAACCTTTCACACCATCTCATTATAAATCGATATTCCATCAGATTATTTCGACAGACTTTCAGATATTAACACCGACAGATCACCAAAATACATAGTCAACCGTAGGTATGAATATGGGTGTCTTATGGTATTCCAACCCATAAAGCTCTCAAACAGTCTTCTAGCTGACGGCATTCTGTTTTCGATAATGTTACCGTGTATAAATTGTAATATTATCAGTGTTATTAATATTTGCTCTATTGACTCATATTTTTATAAAATGTCTGTATAGATACACTTTGTCGAATTGTTGTTTCAATGATATTCCTTTTTATAAAACTGATTCGAATGATACTTAATTGTTTCGAGTTTTTTTTTAAAGTAGTGGGAGTAAAGGGCAAAAAGGGTACATGTGTATTGATCACAATCCCTTCTTAAAAGCAGGAGTCTAAAGTAATTTTTAAACTAAGTATCAAACGTGTATCACAACAACGATGTAAATATCGTAATTGAGCACAGTACTTAGGTTTATACAAAATATGCTGTGCTTAGTTTTGTTTGCAATACAGGTTCAAATTCTTTATAAAAACACAAGTTATTACTTTTATATCTATAAGCATGAAGAGAGTCTCTAGGCATATACATAGATAAACAGATTTAAAAATACAGAAAATGTACTCAAAGAAAAAGCGGAGAAATTAATTCAGCAAACATTAATATAATTTCGTACACAGAGCATCATACACGTCAGTGAAGTTGTCAAATCCTCCAGTTTCCGTCTCCACCTCCTCCGCCGACTCAAGTCCCTCGGAGTTCCTGCACCCGAGCTCCTCAGTGTTTACACAACATTCATACTTCCCAAGCTCACCTATGCCTCCCCTACCTGGTCTTCCTCCCTAAATGCCACACAACGTAAACACCTAGAAAAAGTGCAAAAGAGGGCATGCAAGATTATTCTTCCCTTCCTACTCCACATATCAAGAAGCGCTCAACACACTGACCCTTTCGACTCTCACTGACCATCACCACGACCTCATCTGCAAATTTGGTAAGAAGCTTCTACACCATCCTCGACACCGGCTCCTACTACCACCTGAGATCCCTAGCCCGAGAATTGCTGTTCGACACCACAACCGCATCCAGCCCATACGTGCACGAACCGATCGCTATAAGAACAGCCCAGTCCCAACCATTGTAAAAATTACCAATAACTTGTAATAAACCAGTGTATTCACTCCCAGTAAATACTACTTCTTGCACTGTCACTATGTTGAAATGCCCTGTAGTTTGAGCTTTTCCCCATCTAGTTATTATATATCTTAATTGTATCACTTATGTTACTTGTATATTATTTGCAAGTCGTAACCCATTCCCCAAATATGTAACTGTATATTTTCAGCCTTCTGGCTGCCAAGCTCTTTCAATAAACCGTTAATTATTATTATTATTATTATTATTATTACTACACAACACTGAGTTCACATCCTAAAAAATCATGCGTGGGCGTCCTTGAACACAACAAAAATCGAATGAAAAGCAAATTTCAGAAGAGGCAAGAGACGAAAATAAGATGGTTGCGGCGTACCGAAGAGGAGAAAATGAAATGAAAAGAGTAATAGAAACAGATGCCAGTAGTACAGTACCTGTAAAGGAAAGAAGTCAAGAAAGAATAAGATGGAGAGACGTAATAAGACAGATATGAGATAGTGGGCAAAAGGAGAAGAATTGAACCGACAACTACACAGAGGAGCAGCCGTGGGTATAGTAAACCCTCCCTCTACAATTGCAAGCACAGTTATGGGGTGTACGACGCCATTTACTATGACCTTCGTGCCCTGATCTTTTTTCAGCAATATCGCCTTTAACACATGGAACTCTGCACTTTCGAAGCTTTGGAGGAGTCTCGAAGCAAGTTTCCTGGTGGGAATTATTAGCTAGTGCTGTACTCAAAATATCGAAACTTCGAGATCTCTCCAGAGCTTCGAAAATGTGGTATTCCTGAAACAAGATCAGGGCAAGAAGGTCATCGTAAATGGCGTCGTACACCCCATGACTGTTCTGCACAGGAAGCCTGGACACTAAATTTCTCCAATTTATTTACGTCATGGACAATATCTGGTGTTCATTATTAAATATTTCGTCAAGCAAGTGCTAGATTTAGTTATATCTATCTATCTATCTATCTATCTATCTATCTATCTATCTATATATATATATATATATATATATATATATATATATATATATATATATATATATATATATATATATATATATATATATTATAGGTCAACAACGAGCATTTTTTCATAGTTTGAACCTGGGACAGGTAAGTTTACACCCGGAAGCAGCATCACTTTTACTCACAAAAGTTTGAACTTTTTTATTCTCCGTAACACAGCAGCGAGGGAGTGTGATCCTCACTGTGTTCCATAACCAGAGTTTTATCTTTCATAATTTTCAACTGTTGATGGAACAGTGTAATTACTATTCTTGTTACGCGCGTAAAGACCTTCGTTGTTGAAGCGCAATAGTAACATAACCAAGGTCTATAGACCTCGGTTATAACAACACACATACTAGAACCCTCGATCATAGGGAACACGCGGTGGCGGTGGCGGTAATTTGATAATACAATTTACGGTAAACAATGTAGATTTATACTAAAGATCAGGTTAGTAAAAACACTAGAATGAACTAAAAAGAAAAATTCAGGCAATTTTGTATACACAGTATTCCTGTTGAGGTTTGTATGAGATGCACAATACAACAATGTCCATGAATGAGAGGACATCATCATCAAGAATCGAAACATGAATAAAGTCACACGAGATGAACGAAAATTTGGGTAACGTGGATCGCTCAATTTCAGAACACGAGGAAAATATTTACTCGGTTTTAAGTTCAAATCTATATAGATTATTTACTAAACTGGTGATGCCCCCTACCCCGCTGTGACCAGGTGTGGAGGGTGTGGGGTGTACAGAAGGTGTAACAGGAGTCACTACTCACCCAGCCTGGGTTACATGTCCCGGGTTGCTCCTGGGAAGCTTGGGCGTGGCTCCTTCCACTCAACACAGCCGCCGTACCTGTCAACCATACACAAAAAATTTATGTTAAGAAGAAGTTACTGATAATGATGGTTAAGGTTATGGGAAGTGCAAAAACTTGAGGAAAAAAACTGTTGGGAACTCTTTAATTATTCATATCAACGATTATTTGACGCCCAACACATTACCTCGCAAACACTTGTGGCTGCGTAGATATACAGCATATACCTCGTACAATCAACACCTTTGTTATTTTCTTTTTATCCCACAAGTGAAACAGAGATTGTTGTATATACAGTACAGCCACATACCGGTTGTCACTGCTGTATATAACTGAAGCTATGAATGACTCATCAATGATGCATTAAAGACGTACAGTATTTTCTGACCGATAACAATTGTCAGAAGTTCACCTCTCATCTTCATCCTCCATCCATCGTAAAGGTTTATTCAAAAGTGGATTTATCTAATTTTCTCTCTGACATAATAGTCCCATTTTTACATTCTTGGGGCTCCACGTGAGTCATCTGAACATCGTGCCAACGGCCACTGACGATCATACAGTTTTATCCACCATCCTGCCTCCTCTTCCATCCCTCACATTGCCTCTCAGTCTCACTCTAATCGCCCGACTTTTTTCTCTACTTAAATATGCTTCTTCCTCGTCCTACCTTCATCTACTTTGTTCTCTCCCTCTCACACCAAGTCTCTTCCTAATCCAGTCTTCCCTCACTCCCTTCCACACTTCGTCTTATCCTCACCCTGTCTCTCCTTCCTTCACTCCGCTTCCTTCATCCCTCGCTACCCTGTCCTTCCACACCTACTGTACATGACTTAACCCATGCGTCATTATCGAGCCGAAGCGTAGTAGCAAGTAGCAGGGGTAGGACCTTGACCACTAGTACACACACACACACACACACACACACACACACACGCGCGCGCGCGCGCACACACACACACACACACACGCTCGCGCTCTGTGATCTACACTAATGATATAATTAAACAACTTCTTCAAGTCCGAGAATTAGCGACTACAACCCTCCATTCCAAAAGTTTTCGACCTGTCCCAGATTTCGTGTATTTCCAGGGAACCAGCTTTGAATTTCAATCATTCATTCTAGTCTCTATTATCCCCTGGACCTCCTATCCCCAATTTTACCTATTTACATTTTTACCATTGTCCATTCATCTCTAATTATATAGTGAAAGTAAAGATTAATTTTTCTTGTTATATTTTTAGGATTTCTCTCGTCGCTTCATTAATTATAAATTGTCCTAATGATCTGTAATTTATATTCAAGACTATTAAAAAGGCAGTGTTCTTAATTGCGTCGGTGTGCAGTTAAACATACATATTTAAAGCATAAAATAACCATTATATAGCACAGTACAACAGTTTTAAACCAAACTCTTTTTTTCAGGGAGTAAAATATTTTTCAACAAACATACGTGTTTAGAAAACTGAAAATTACATTATTTTACGTTACAATCTTATACGGAACATAGGAAATTTTCATCTTTTGAACATCGTTGACATACCTTACCGTACTGTCCACTTGTCCACTCCTTCACTCTCACAGGACAGCTGAAGTGCACTGTACGGGATACGAGTCTAAGTATTTACTGAACTGTACAGGTTTACTTGGAAAGATTAGACTTCATGATATTCTTTAAACCTTCCATATTTTCAAGACCTGGATATGACATTTTAAGTGCTGCGTAGCCGTAGTTAGTTACATAATTTGTTTTGTGAAATACAAACTTTACAGAATAAACACACTTGAAATTGAGCAAACTTTGCTTTCTTGCCTTCTGCAGTTCCTTGTGTAACTTAACTACAGTAACTGAAGTGGCAAAATATTAAAAAAAATCGATGTGAACCGCTTGGTTATTTCAAATTTACAAAGACTTTCACCTTTGACCCTGTAACCCCCAAAAGCACATGCACGTCTTTGAGTGATAAACCTAACGCCCACCAAGTTTCAGGAGGACCCAATACCCATCCATAAATCGTAGGACTAAACGAGTTGACTAAGAATTTTAATAGTTTTTGTTAAGAATTAGCATGAAATTAACCAACCAATCAGAACCTAGTTTTAAATACTATCGATGAAAATTCAAAGGTAAACAAAGCTCTATTGGATATTTAAATGGGATTTTCCTTATATCACAATCGTTCTTCGTATTCCAATAATGAACGCTGAAGAACATATTTTACATAATTTGGTAAGTAATAGTGTAGACCTGTGAGTTATTGTTATAAACCACCTAACCACTATATCTACTGACCACCAATTTTGCTAAGATTGAGAACTTTTAGGCTTAAAATCTTATTAAAACTAAGTAACAGTTAAAGTTATTCTCTTACCGATTACAAACAAAATCTTCATCTTAATTCCACCACTGGACAACTCCATAGTATCTAGGTAATCCACCAGTTTCACAACACGTTGACTCTTCACATGCGACTGATCAACTGTGGCCCTGTGGTGGACTGGTGGGGTCCAGGAGCCTCGTGCATGCCATTCTGTCTCCGTTTTCTTATACCTTACATCCGTTTTCCCATCCTGTCTAAAAACTTGTCCCCACTTTCTTTAATGTAAACGTAATCAAAGTTAGGTAACAGTGCTTCATTCCTATAGTTTAGAAGATATTTACAAATGATCATGTTATTTCTAAGGGAAATTGTTGCATCTCATATTAGTCAAACCTGAACATGGTAATTTGTTCATCTGTAATTTTACGTGATATTACGTGAGAAATGTATTTTGAAAATAAAATCATAGTGATATACATAAAATAGTCTCAAATAATTAATTTCAGATGCTAAAACATACAATGCTGAAATGAGCAAACATGTAGCAATGGTTTTAAATTAGACAAATTTAGATTTAGGCGCGAGATAGGGAAACATTGGTTTGGAAACAGAATAGTGGATGAGTGGAACAAGTTACCAAACATCATTAACTCGAACACGCTGGGTAGCTTCAAATATAGGGTCTAGGTGTGCGCGTCCTCCAAAACGAGGCGCTTTCCTGTTTAGAGTATTATCTGGTCCCCGAGATATGCTCGAGACTGTCAGTTGATTGTAAATGTCCAAAGAAGGGCCACCAGACTGGTGCCAGTAGTACGGTATCTCGGTTACCCAGAGAGATTGGAACACCTGCAGTTGCCCAGGTTATACTTTTATCCTCTTCGCCACTGATTGCCTTGTTAGCCGCCCGGGCGATCGGTCACGTCTCCGTCAGGCACTGTTGGCAAATACTGGGCATGCACCGGCTCCTGAATGTACTATAGGCGGGCAAGGGGTGACAATAAAAGTCTATAAACACCTTCATTACTCAGTTAATTGTTCATTCATGAAACTGACGGATGTCCGCCCCAGTTAAGGTTAGAGAAGCCACAGGTTCAGAAAATTGTTAGGATAAACTTTTTGGGAGAGAGAATTGTGAACTCTTGGAACAACCTGCCAGTGTTGTCACGGGACCGAATGCGAGTTCATTCAAGACCAGACTTTACTAACACTGGCGCAGGTACAGATACATTCTGGAGCCAGTACTTACCAACAGAGACGTGACCGACCGCCCAAGCGGCTACCAAACGTGTTCTCTCCATTACTATATAATGTCTATTCAGATTTTTTTATGAGAAGCTGTAATTAGTAGTATTGAACGGATGAAAGTGAATGGTAAAGTAATATCAGATATTTTATATGCAGAGGATACTGCTCTTATTATAGTGTGGAAACTAAAAACTGGTAAATATATAAGAGGAAAGTGGTGAAGAGTATGAGCTCAGAGTTAATGCAACTTTAAAGACAGAAGTAATGTTGATTTCCAACGCGAAAGTAAACCCAAAAATCTAAAATATGTTAGCTGGTGATGGCAGAGGTGGTAAAGAAATTAAAAAAAAAATGATAGTTCAAGCAGAAAATGCATTTAATCATAATAGAGATTTGTTAAATGGGACCATAAGTATTAGTTTGAGGAAAAGGGTGACCAGTACTGTTACTGATATGCAGGTCACAAGTGTGGACACTTTAACCGCATTGATAGATTGATGTTTTAGATTCCAATAAAAACGTGTGATTCTTTATTTATCTTTTCCGTTGTTAAATCGTCGTTTTATAAGATACAATACTCGCGTGTATGTGTAAAAGATGTTACACTGGCAATATCAGTGGAAAGAACTTTTAACCTGTCGGTCATATCTATTGTTAAAACTCCATTAATTGACAACAGTTTCGTTATTATAACACCTGTATCATACTTAATAATAAAATTGCATGAAAAAATTTTAATGCTCATAGAGCTCTACTGCAGTTAATTTTATGCTCTTGATGCAATGACCTACGATGAGCCACACTTAAGTTTATTTCCAGTGATACAAATAACTTTATGGAAGCCTTTTTTTTGTACTGTATTGTAGGAGTTCGTGGTATAATGTTGTCTAGCACTCAGGATGGATGGAAACTTTAAGGTGGTTTTCTTGTATAATATAAGTTACATGATAGACAGTCTGGTGCTGGAGGTGCCGTGTGGTGAGGAGCTGCTCAGTAGAGACGTTCGGTGAGTAGCGTGTTGAAGGAGGTAGATGTGCAGGAGCTTCGTTAGAGAAGATGTTGCCTGTTGCTGGCCTCCTGGTTGAATGAATGCTGACAGTGTGGAGCTTGCTGGAGGAGGTGTTGCTTGTTCAAGAAGAGAGACCAGAATGAGAGCTGGTTGGTGAGGAAGCTCAGAGAAGGACAGCTGGTGGGTTGCCATGCTCGCTGGCGGGAGCGAGGACCGCCAGGCAGGCGAGGAGAAGCAGGGCCGCCAGGCAGCAGCGGAGGAGGAGGTGTTGCGTGTTGTAGAAGAGAGGCTAGAATGAATCTCAATGGAGAGACAGAGCTTATATACCCAGCAGCCGTGAGTCCTCTATGAGTCATGTTGGGAAAACCCGAGAAGTAACCGGTCTTTTGCTCGGTTGCTAGGATACGGCGGCGCATCTGGTGACGCCGCTCGTTTGGTTGCTAAGGAAGGCGTCGCAGGTGGGATGCAGCTACGCAGTTTGTAGAGGAGACGTCCACTACAATACTCCCCCTTCCCTCCAGGCGGTGTAGGAGACTTGTTGTCTGCAGAGTTGCTTAGCACATGTGAGGCAGACCGGGCAGTGCATGCCTCATGTGCTAAGCAACTCTACAGACAACAAGTCTCCTACACCGCCTGGCGGGGAGGGGGAGTATTGTAGTGGACGTCTCCCCTACAACTGCGTAGCCACAGCCACCACCTGCTGCCGCCTTCCCTAGCAACCAACCAGATGTTACCGTATCTTAGCAACGGAACCAGGAACCGGCGACTTTCTGGGTTTTCCCAACATGACTCATAGCGGCTGCTGACTCATAGCGGCTGCTGGGTATATAAGCTTTGTCTCTCCATTGAGATTCATTCTGACCATTCTTCTTGAACAAGCAACACCTCCTCCTCCGCCGCTGCCTGGCTGCCTTCGCTTCTCCTCGCCTGCCTGGCGGTCCTCGCTCCCGCCAGCGAGTATGGCGACCCAACAGCTGTCCTTCTCTGAGCTTCCTCACCAACCAACTCTCATTCTGCCCATCTTCCTGAACAAGCAACACCTCCTCCAGCAAGCTCCACGCTGTCAGCATTCATTCAACCAGGAGGCCAGCAACAGGCAACATCTTCTCTGACGAAGCTCCTGCACATCTACCTCCTTCAACACGCTACTCACCGAACGTCTCTACTGAGCAGCTCCTCACCACACGGCACCTCCAGCACCAGACTGTCTATCATATAACTTATATTATACAAGAAAACCACATTAGAGTTTCCTTCCATCCTGAGTGCTAGACAACATTATATCTCGATACCCCTACAGTATCATGCAAATTCTCTGGAAATTTTCTTGAAACTTTACCATAAAAAGAACGAAAATAATATACACAAAGTTAAGCTATATCTTTCACGATTTTATTTTTTATGTTTTTAATACATGGTATTTTTCATGACAATGATAACCATCAGTGCAGAACAATAAGCAGTGCAACAATGAATGAATGTTTAGCCGCCAGCTGGCCATGCAGTATAATGCAATGCTCTCTTTTTGATACAGTCATGTGGCTGTACACAACTTGTCAATACCCGAGGTGTAGCTGCATTAAAGTTCTACGTAAATACCAAGATGCCATAACAATATGGTGTACAATATTCCAATAAAATAAAACCAAAATTTGATTCTCTTTATTTAAATAAAGTTTAGTCAACTCAAATTTTTAGTTATCTCTTAAAAACACATACGCCTTGAGTTTTATCACTCTCTTCCGTTGATGATGGTTGTCGTATTTGCAACCAGTTTTTAAAAGATTGAGTATCGAAGGACACCGCACTACAGTGCTTGATGGGGATGTGTGGCGGTAAAATGAAATAATTTCAATATTATAAGCTAATTTTATCGCCACACCTCCCTGTCGATAGCTGCAGTGATGCGGTGTCCTTCGTGACTCAATTTTATAAAAACTGGTTGCAAACACGACGACCATCATCAACGGAAGAGGGTGATTAAAGGTCCGGGCGTTACAATTCAGAATTTTAAAAGAGGTATGCCAAGGACGTACTGGAAGATAACCTGCAGGATATAAGCCTTCTCTAACAAGCTTTGTATGAACCGGCTCTCACCAATACCTTCACAATATAGTAGTGCTACTATAGTACATAAATCACAAATATACAAGGAGAGTGCTGAAGATGATAAAACATGTAAAGCTATCTTGAACATTTAAAAATACTGGACGTGGATGTAGAGTACAAGAGTTCCTTCATAGCCAGCTTATTAATAAAATAATTATATCATACACAACCTTTACAAAATTTTTATATAAACATCACACAGTAGACTTGTTTATGATCACGATATACATAAAAATAACAAACATGTGCTCATGTACAGTAAGGACAAGATTAGTTTGGTGGATATTGGGCAGTTGGTAGTTGTAATAAACATCTATACTACCAGAAATTATCTTATGGTAATTGTAAAAAAAAAAAAAAAAAAGGCATTAACCAGATAAACATTAAATACTAATATATGGGGTATAGACAAATGGTATATAACAAAATGGATAACGCTTACAGCATAACTCTGGAACGCCTACCATAGACAGTTCTACCCAAGACGCTATACAGTATACTGTACTCAGTGTACTGCACAACGATAGTTAAATTATCATTATTACAAAACTGCTATGAATTTGCACCATATTACATTTATAACCAATACGATATTTGTATTTGTATTGTAGTAATCACATTAATTATAAATTACGTATGTACCTTATAAATACAAAATCAGAAGACATATCCTTACCCAGTTTTGTGAAATACTCTCCCAACCTTCTCCATGATATTCATTAAAAAAACTTAAAGGTTCGACTTCAATTGAGCTATAACAATCAGGATTATAGGATGGTGTATTCACAGCCTGAATTTGTGTTC